TGTGGGATGTATTGTTCTACACAGCCGAAGCTGTGCTTCCACAAGAAAAGGAGCACGAGGGGAAATAAGCACACGCAACAGATTTTATTATGAGAATACAAAAGACTTTATTTCATTATGTACAATCGGACTTTTTCGCTCTGCTCACGTCGAGAGCTCTAAGTAGAAGAAAAATGTATAGCGCCGCGCGACTCTTCTCCCTCAGCTGTAGGGCACCGGCGGTGGGTGTGTGAGTTGGCTCGCGCGTGCGCAGGAAAAGATGTTCCTTGGGACGATGGCCTGCTTTCGTCTTGAGCACGAAACTGGTCGCTGTGGCTGAGACGCCACATCCTGGGTTATTGGGTGATAGGCGCTTGTGTTATTGGACCTCATTTGAATCTCGTGCCTTTGGTACTATTTCTTTTTGATCTTGTAATTTCCCAAGTCAGATAGGTTGGGTTCTAGAGAATTTCTAAGTCTGGCCGGAACTATATCTTAACACTGCTTGTACGGTACTCGGAGGTCCTTTCTCAAAAGAAGTACAAAATCAATCATACACTTTTCATGGAACTTTTTTTTTCTGCTGCGTCTGTTAGTAAAGTTGAAATTGTACCTAGATTTTAGGATAATGAATGCAGATAGGGTTGATATTTTATAATAAATAATTATTTTTACATTTAAATGTCAACTAGCAAGCGTTTTTGTAATGTTCTCTATATTAATTTGTTGGCCATTGAGAAAAAATAGTATTTTCGCGATACGTGTCGCGAATTTACCAATTGTAATAAACACATTTTTATGACGTGTCATAAACATAGTAAATAAATAAGTAACGGGTCGTAAATTAAATTTACGACTTGACATAAATGAAACGAAACGCCCATCCGTAGGTACCTGCAGCTACCAGCTGCTAATCGGGCTATTCTTTTTATGTCTATGGCTTGTGTGGATAGAACCCCCATCTACCTTTCCAGATGTCTACGGTTTAAGTAACACTGGTTACTCACATCACACGATAGCCTCGTGAACTTAAATTAATCTGATTATTATGTTTGCATCTGTAAAATAAGATCTCACCAATTCAAAGAATTTTATTGTCTGTGACTCAAATTAGTTTGCCTTTCTAATAGTTACAAACATTTTTGAATAATACTTGGAATCAGTTATTATTTAAATTTACCATCCTAACCAAAGCTCGTACCAGCTCATTAAGGTAATTGATAAACATTTTTCTAACATCTAACTATAATTGTCTCTACAAAGACGGTAAAAAGTTTGATCTAGAATTTGTAAGTGTTGCAGTCTTGAGAAATTTCCATCCATTAAAATTTCTCTTGCATTTTAAACAAGGATCGCCCTTGCACACCAGCAAATTACTGTTGTTTACAAAATGTCCTACAAGCAAACATTGTAAAAATTTTTAAGCCTCAGTTTTTCAACAGCAGCATATGAAATTATAAAGAGAAAAAACTAATTACGAGACTCCTGATACCTACATTGTTAAAATAATGTCATTATTTTACTGTTAAAATCATGAAATTTTTATTTTGCAGTTAATCAAAATGCCTGAATTAACTGAACTTGATAAGCCAGCAACATCTGAATGTGCAAAGGCTGAGCAAGCTACTACAGCTGGTTCTGCAACTGATTCAGACTCAGATGATACAATACCTGAGTTAGAAGATGGAACATCAGGTTCAGGTGCTTATTCTGGAATTGGTATTCCAGGAATGCCAATAGATGTATCAAAAACTAAACAAAACAGAGGGGAAAAAAAAGCACGAAAACTCATGAGTAAACTTGGCCTAAAACCAGTAAGTTAAGTGTAAAAATATAAATTATTGCTATGACATAGTGCTTCTAAACTAAATTACTAGTTACTATTTGCTGTTAAGGTTTGTCATTGTAATGATCGATTTAACACAGGAGTTTAGAAAATTAAGTAATTATAATGTGAAATCGTACTTGTCTAAAGTGCCGTGTTATTTATGTAGAATCACCCAAAAAAAAAATTGTATCTACAACGTTCAACAGTTATTAATGCCCCCTAATTAAGTATGTGATAAACATAATTGAAGCCAATGAAAACTTTGTCAAAAGGAGTGAATATTCAAACTATGTTGAAATTTTAGATATGAAACATTACATGAAATACTCATCATGTGTCATTATTGGCGGTAAAGCTCATAAAAAAAGAGGCATTGAGGACATAAAGTCTTTCCCTCATGTGGAGGTAGGTATCGAAAGTGTTGATGAAGGCACATAGGTGCTTAAATATTAGTGCAGTTTTTCTAAACATGCCTACTCCACGTGTGTGTGTGTGAAAGAGGAAGACTAAAACTTTTCTCGCCCCATAAGCTTCACTGCCCCTGTTATGAATCTGCAGTCTATTCTCTCTGCCTCTTTATTTATGGTATCATTATCTTATTGAAAGAAATAAAAAATTCATTAGCTGAAAAAAGGTTACAGGTGTTAATAGAGTGACAATTAGAAAATCTAAAAACATTTTGTTTGTGATCAATAAACCTGACGTATTAAAAAATCCAGCATCAGATACTTACATCATTTTTGGTGAAGCAAAGGTATGCCATGAATTCTAAAAACTGGTTTAGCTCTGCTTGATGTTAATTTACGAAAATTTTCATGTCTAGATCGAAGATCTGAGTCAGCAGGCTCAAGTAGCTGCTGCAGAAAAATTCAAAGAGCACCCCATACCCACAGCCACAGAAGCTAGTGGAAGCATGACAGTAAGTGAAAATTATAATACCTAAAAAAATTACATAAGATGGCATTAGAAATTACTAACTTGCTGTAAACCGTGCAGGCTGTTACTACGATTCAAGAAGAAGATGAAGAAGAAGTTGATGAAACAGGTGTTGAAGAGAAAGATATTGAGCTTGTCATAAGTCAAGCAAGTGTGTCTCGAGCTAAAGCTATCAAGGCCCTTAAAAATAATCAAAACGATATCGTCAACGCGATCATGGTATGTTGAGACAAATATATATATATATATAAATTAAATATATATATTTTTTTTATGAGATGATACACACAAGGTTTCGCTTATGTTCATGCAATAATTTATTTGATGAAAATCTTGGCAGACTGATACTTTTCTTTAGCAGTTCTAAGAAATATCTAGAATAAATCAAAATAAAAACATGCATTTGTTTTTTATTTACAGGAGTTGACAATGTGATAAATCAACCGGGAACATATATTAGAAGATGCTTTTCAAAATTTACGTTACAAATTATTTTTTAACATATCTTTCTACATTTCCAAGCACTGTTCAAAAATGTTCATTATAAATTTGAAAACTTATTAATAAGTTCCATGAACTTATGTTATCATGTACATACACATGTCGCATTATATTAAATAAAGTACAAAAACTTTTTCAATTTTTATTGTGACCTTTGAATCGTTGTTGAAAAAATCAGGCTATGTAATGAAACAAATTAAAATTATTGATGACACAATTATCTGATAATGCCAGATTGTGATGACGTGACAAGTAAGTAATTTATGTGATTTACCATATTATATGTACACAATTGGAAATTGTTTTCACATTCAAACCACTATTAAATTTAAAGCAAAATTTGAATAATTACTGGCTTATTATTTTGACGCTAAATGTTGATCTAATTTTTGTGGTTATTACCTAGTTATAAGTCTGAAGCAGAAAAAATTTTTTTTTTATATACAACTTAATTGGGCTTTGAAATACTCAAATGTAAAGAGAAAGCATTTATTTGAATGTTGAAAAGAATCTAAAAAACCACCGAACCATTTCATCACAAATTTTAACAGGAGATTACAAGTTCTAATATGCTATTTGAGGTGGGCCCCGTAGATAAGGTTTTAGTTCCAGGGTTCTAATTGCGTGCTTTGATATACGCAATACGGTTCAAGACCGTCGCACACTACCGACCTTGTAACGAAAATGTAACTGAAAGTTAACTTTTTGATGTTCAAAGGTATATTATGAGAGTAAATTTCGAAAGCTATTGCATATATTGAAGAACTCGATCAGACCCTCGTTATTGCCACATGATCCTTTTTTACATGATGAAACGGCGCTCGATTTTCGCGCTTTTCATTTGAACACGTGAAATGGTTAAGGTTTTAGTTACAACTTTAGCCACTTCATTCACATTTACGTAAATGGGTTCTTCGGTGCTAGTAGTCGTGACTTACCTCGAGGTTCGAATAGACTATCAATATGAGCAGAAACTTAATTTAAAAAAAAAATTTTATGCTATCAAAAAAATGTTTTTCAATGTTACTTATTAACGTCAAGTGAGCTGCTACCGAAATGAATTTTGTGACAAACGATTAAGATACGATCCCTAACTGTAAAAAAAAAGTACCTGCTGAACTTTTACTAAAGTTGTGAAACGCCATGATTCGTGGAGACCCCAAGTATTTTTGTAATCTTTTCTTTTTATCACAAGTTATATTAAAATATAAAAAAGTGCAATTTAGCCTATAGGTACTATATACTTGCTAAAACCTATTCAATAGATAAAAAAAAATTCGTCTAAGAGAAGTGCCATTTGCGGCAGGATTAGGAGTATTCTAACCAAAAATGGCCTCCAAAAATAGTTATTGTCGAAACTCTGCCAAACGTTTTTTTCAAGATAATTTTTGCATATAACTAATGGGGCCATTTTTTGACAGAGTTAAAATTAAAAAAAAAACCTTGTTCTTCGGCGAAAATTCGAATCAGCAATGCTTATCTAACGCTTATGTTATCTTTTAATACTCATCTAAAATTATAGATAAAGTATTTAAAAAAAAATGAAAAATAAACTTTTTATTACAGTTCCACGTAAAATACTTGAACCCTCCTATTTTGGTGTTGCCATCCAGATGGTAAATCTGAAGTAGTCACTTTTAATTGGGCAGTTATTAACAAGTGGATGTTCTATTAAAAAAAGTTATGGTTTCATACATGCGTAGAAAACTGAGATAATTGCACAAATCGTTACAATATCGGTTACGTACTTAATTTTTTGAATAATTACAACGGCATGTTACGCAGTTCTTTTAATTGTTGAGACCAGTGGAGAAGGATCTGAATGGGACAATTACAGAAACTGTTGTAATTGACCTTCGGAGAAAAATTTCGTCGCTAAAAACACTTGAAGTAAAAAAGTGATCGTCTCAAAAATTGTTACAATTGTTTGCATTAATAATAATATATTTTATGAATTTTAAGTTTACAGATTATTATATTTTTGAGTTATTAAACGTCACAACAAATGAACTTTGGCAACTATAAACGGTATTTGTAAGTAAACAATGGCATATTATCGGCGGCTCATACGAAGAAACTTACTTTACTAAAAAACCGGCAAAGAATCGTACTCGAAGTTTTGTTCCAACGAAAAATCGTACGTACAGCTATTCGGCATGGAAAACGCGCTGTCAGCGCTGGCTAGTCGCTACTACTTACACTTGTCCCAATCCTACACCCCTAACTTAAGGAGGTTTGGGAGTAAAGTAAAAAATGTAGAATCCTCCTGAAAAAAATATATGTTATAGTTAAGCACATTCAAAGTACCATTGAATTTTTCAAATTTTTAGCCAGGGAAATTTTTGAGAAAAAAAATGTTGATAATAGGCAACTTAACACGGTCTTTTGTGGATAGACGAGGTTCAGTTGCCTTTTCCTTGAAAATACGGGATGATGTAAATGTGTTAGAGCAAAAAAAAAAGTTCGTACAGGTAGCTTAGTGCAAAAGGAACATATTCGTAAAAAAAAATCAAACTTTGCCAAGCATTATTTGAAAATATCAATGATTAAAGTTTCATAATTGAGTTAAATACGTTGCTTGTCTGCTACAGGATATGCAAGCGTGGCAACACCGCACACCTCGAAGACGCGCCAAATATATACTAAGTTTGAAAGTTTCAATGTATAGCTCTTATTTTTCTCTTTAGCCCTTATTTTCACTAATAACACACCCACACACGTAAATGATTATTATAAAATGCTTAACACATTAATAAATATTCTTTATTGTAGGATTCAAAAGTGATGCAAAGGTAACCTGCACTATACAATAAAAAATATACACATAAACGTCACATATAAAATATCTTTTTACATATATTTTATAAACTAATTTAACCTAAATACTGTGCATTAATACTCATGAGATAGTATTTCATTTACTTTAGCTTTGATACTTCTTAATCAGATGTTTTTGTTTTTTAAGAGTCTAAAATTGTATCAAGAATTTTTTTGGTCTTAATAATCTGAGGTTTTCCGTCGATTCTGCCTTTTAATAACTTTACAGTTTTGTCTTCTCCATGATTCTTATAGCAAGAGACTAAAGAATCGTAAGTAATTCCAAAACTAACAATTCTTTTTATCATTTTTCCGCTTACAATGCTNGTTAAAAAAACAGCCATTTAACACGTTTTGCGTGTCTATTATCAACTGCAGATATGGTTAGGACAGAAATCTTTAAATGCAACAGACTTTAGTTGGCAAGTGTGTAAAAATGGCTTTGAGCCCGTACAAACGACTGAGCCTTTTTTGGAAAAATAAAAAAAAAATTTATTCATAACAATTTGAGTAAACAATTATTGAAAATACCCTAGCCAGTTTTTATTAAAATCACGCGCTACCCTAGATTTAAAAAAAAAACGTGAAAATCGGTAAAGAAATGAAGAAGATACAACATATTTTCTTTACTCATTGAATTTGAAGCACGTCGGCCGATTTTGAATTTGAGCTTGGCTCTGATGACGTCACAACGTAATCTGCCGTCGGCCAAAATGAATGTCATTTTTTAAAAGTGTCGTTGCACTTTTTGGAGAGCAATGAGTATATAGAATTTTAAAGCGTGGAATAATCAATGAAGTGGAAATATTTAATAATGAGGGTGATTTGCAAATAAATGATGCTCATGAATGTCATTACGAATTAGACCTATATGCATCGCCTACATTAATTATTATACGTTATTTTCAAATCCCTCTTTATTTTACTAACCCTGTCCTTTATAGGTTAATTGGGATGCCAATGTTGGCCCAACATAATCCCCCATTACACTGCGCCATCTACCTCTATAGATTTTTTTAAACATATTTAGTTTAGTTAGAGATAAAGGAGGTTCCGTGGTAAAGGAACAAGAAAAAAATACATTGACAATGTCGTGGGTCACTCTGCTGGTTTCGTTATTTGATCAATATCAAAATAAAACAAAATGTTAGCAAATGTCCTGTGACACTCACTTCGGAACCTAGTCATTCAGCTTCGACAGAAATAAAAAATAGAGGTCGTCTGATTTTGCCATCACTGAACGTTATAACAGTTTGCAAAATTGTTGAAAAAGTATATAGAATGTTTTACAAAGGAAAAAAAAATATATTCACAGAAATCGTTAAAATTGTAGAGAAGAATGTCCCTGACGATATTTTTCCGATCAATCATACAAATGATCCATTTAAACATGGACTACCATTACTTAAATGAATTATTACTACGTACCTACGCATTAGGATTCATCAGTACGAAAAACAAAAAAATATTGCTGCTAAAAAATTGTAGTATTTAAAGTAGCACATCTGTACTTATACATTTTCCTCACTTGGAATTTTATTTTATTTTATAATGTTCCAACTGTATCTGCATAAATTTACAATGAAAATTTACACTGTAACATAANGAATACGTTTAAACGACTGATACACGAACTCTTATAAGAACTTATATAAAAACTTACTTAAAAAATTACATAAGATCTTATGTAAGTTCTTACTTGATAAGCAAATGTAAGTTCGTGTACAAGTTGTGACACAAGTTCTGATAAAAAAACTTACATTAGAACTTGCGTAAGAACTAACATAAGAACTGACATAAGAAATTACATGAGAAATTACGCAAGAACTTGTGTAAGATCTTATGACAAATTTTCAGCTGGGCATCAAAGTAAGACGGAAAATTAAATCTTGAGTTCAGTTACTGAAATCATAATTAATGTAAATAAGTTACTAGTATTACTATTTACACTAATGCAATGCACAGGCATTACACTCTTTTGTATATATTGTTTATCTGTAACATCTGTACTACCGAAATCAACGTATAGATGAAACTACGGGTATCTTTTATAAATGGCTATAAGTGAAGGAGTACTGCATCATGTGTCAAACAATTCGTTAAGTACCAATTCTATTAAGGAGATTTGGGAGTAAAGTAAAAAATGTAGAATCCTCCTGAAAAAAATATATGTTATAGTTAAGCACATTCAAAGTACCATTGAATTTTTCAAATTTTTAGCCAGGGAAATTTTTGAGAAAAAAAATGTTGATAATAGGCAACTTAACACGGTCTTTTGTGGATGGGCGAGGTTCAGTTACTGTTATGAAAAAAGATTCTTGAAT